CTCGGTTTTCCTCCCTTGCCATCTTATCCTTCTCTCTTTCCTTCATTTTTACCCCCACAGGGTGGGATACTAATTTCAAGGAAAATAGCTGCATTGTAATACCCGAGGGACATAAGTTTAATAAGGTCTAACCTCTTTTTGCCCTTGAAGGTCTATGCCTCCTTCACCGACTGAAGGTCATGTTGCAAATAACTTTGCGATAAAAATGGAAACTTTGGGTTTGATGCATTCTTTACTTGAGAAGAATTAATTTAGTACACTAGCTCCGAGTCTGCAGATTTTTTCCCATGAATATATTGAATTACTTAGATAAACCTGGAGTTTATGTAATTGAAATGCTTTGTGAATGCCTTTTGCAGAGGTTTTTTGGGGGGAGATGTTCGTGGTTTGCTTTTTACTTAAGCTGAGCTACTCAGGAGATGTCTCAAGTTATGAACAAGAGCTCTGCTAGTACTTTGTTTTGTTATGTCATCAAAGGGGAAATCAAAACTTGTGTGGTTCCAAATTAATTTTAGTTGCCCAGATGTCTGTTAACTCCTAAATAACAGCATTTGTTAAATTTGGAAGGTAAATGTAAGTGTTAAATATAGAAAGTAATTTAGATGAACTCATAGGCTAGATAAGGTTTACTGTAAGATGTGAAAGATCTGAACTTAATTTCCTTTATTAAAGTTGGGAAGAGATATGACTTTATTCATAGTAGTTGATCCATTTCATTATCTCTACAACTGGTATGAAGCAGAAAGAGACGCATTGACAGGTACTTTAACTTACTGTAAGGGGTGAAAATATGAATCTTGTAAATTTCCTTTATTCTTAGAAATATAAAGGCTATGACTTTATTTAAGTAGTATATTTAAGTAGCCGGAATGATCTGTGAAAGATCTGAATTTAGTTACTTTCCTTATTTCTTAGACAGAAAAGTATTTAAAAAGAGATTTTTTTAAGAATTAAAGTATTTATCTATTTTATTATATCAACTTACATGAAGTAAAAAAGTGAGCATACTTTTGTTGATATTTGAGATTTGGTAATATCTTGAATTTGCCAAAAGAGTAGTAAAAGTGAAATGATTTGCAGTAAACAATTTTTTAAAAATTTAGTCTTTGCATCCTATATTTTAAATTAATTTAAGAATGTTTGTACATTCCAAATATTCAAAAATAAAATATATATGATTAAAATTTGTTTAATTATGCAATTGTGTTTTTTTAATTCGGTCTCCATAGAGACTATCAAAAATTGCCAATGCCAACTATATTTCAAGTCATCATAGCAGGGTATTGGGAAAAGTTTTCGATTAGCAATATATTGCACCTCAGATAAACCTCATTGGCTACGATACTGCCACTGCACAAAGCTGTTTTTAAAGGCAGTTTTAAAAATACCTGGTTCTCTATTTTTGTGTAGCTGACTTAGTTCATATAGCATTTGTATCTCGGGATCTACTTCAGGAATCCTGGAGGGCTAGGGAAAGAGCAGGAGTGAGGGGAGCAGATAAGGCTTTGTAGAGGAGAAATGGGCCTGCAGTCTTGGTGGTAGCCTGGAGTAGAGTGCTTCCCAGGGAAGGGTTTAGAGAGGAACTTTTATCTTGAGGCTGCACTGAGCTGATGTTTCACTTAATGAAAATCATGAAATGGTTTCATTTAAGGATGTTCTCATTGCTGTGCATGAAAAAGAACCCTTGTTTCCAGAAAACTCATGAGTCCAGGGCTATGTTGCAGCAGGGGAAGAAGTCTCATTGTGTTTTCTTTTTAAAAACTTAATTTATTTTTCAAGGCCCATTACGTCAACATGTTTAATTATTTTTATTTTCAAGGTCCATCATCACTGTTTTCTTTTGGGGTATTTCCAAAATACCAATATGGAAATCCTGCCAGATAGCTCACGGTGTAAAAGTGTGTATTAGATAAGTTTCAGCTAGCCAGCTGGCTGAGAGAAGATCCCTGAAAAAACCTGGTGTTTGGGTACATTGCAAGAAGAGAGCCTTTTATAGGAATGGGAACCCTGACTGGGGAAGCGAGTATGGGTGGGGAGGAAGGGGAACGTGGTGCAGAGGGGCCATAGGCAGGAGAGGGGAGAATAAGCCAGGAAGGGAGACATAATCTGCAGAAAGAGGTTTGGTTGGGAAGGAAGGTGGAAGTTGGAGACGGGCAGCATGATTAGGGCATGGCAGGGAATGTGGAACAGGCAGAGGGCACAGGCAGAGGAAGGGGGCTGGTTGGAGAACAGAGCATAGTCGTGAAGAGAGCCTGGCTAGAGGAGGGGACCTGCATGGTGTCTGGAACATAACCCGTGGGATCACCTGACTGGAGACATAGGCAAAGGCTGGTGAGAGGCTCTAGAAATGGAAAAAGTGATCTACTGAGGTGGGCTGCATAAGGTCGGGGAGGGGAGTCACAAGCTAAAAGAGAGGGCCTGGCTAGAGTAGAAGGCCTTGATAGACAAGGAGGCCTAGCTGGGTAAGGTGGGCATAAGCTGGGAAAGACGACCTGGCTGAGGGAGGATGCCTAACAAGGGAAGAGGACCAGGCTGGAGTATGGGATATGGGCTGGTGAATGTTTCCTGGTAGGAGAAGATGGCCCAGCTAGGACGGGCTGTATAGGGAAAGAAAGGTGGCCCTGTTTAGGAAGGGGAGCTGGCTGGGAACTGGGCTACATCCCGGGGGAAGAACTCCTGGCAGGGGCAGGGCTGGATGGAGAATAGGGGAGAAAAAGGGGCTGGCTGGGGAAAGAGACACTGGCTGTGGAAGGAGAAATAGGCTGGTGAAGTAACAACTCGGAGCAAGAGGCCTGCTTGGAAGGGTACAGCAGATGATGAAGGGGTCTGTGGCTGCCTAATGAGGAAGCAGCTAGAGCAAGATTCCTGCTAGGCATGAGGCACTTGCCAAGGATGGGGGTCTAGAAGGAGAAGGGACCTTATTGGGGGAAAGAAGCATTGGCTGGGGAACAGGCTCTGACTGGGAGAGGAGGACTGGATAGAAGAAGGACCTTGGGTGGTAAAGGAGCCACGAGGCTTGGAAGGTTGGAGTAGGCTGGGAAGGAGACTAGGCTGGGACAAGTACACAACTTGGGAAGGAGTCCTAGCTGGGAGAAAGGAGCTGGCCCAAGAAAAGAGCATAGGCAGCAGCAGAGGGAGTCCTTGCTGGGGAGTTTGGGCTTAAGATGGGAAGAGGGCCTAGCTGAGTAGGGGACACAGGTGGCCATATGGTATGGAAGGGAACATGGAAGGAGAAGGAAGCCTGGCTGGGATGAGGGGAAGGGGCCTGGCTGCAAGAGTGGGGGAATACTGGCTAGAAAAGGTGGCCTGGCTGAGGATACAGGCTTAGGTGGACAAAGGGGCCAGGCAGGGGAGTGGTCTTGGCAGGGCAAGGAGGAAGATCTTACAGAAGAGGGAACAGGCTAGGGAGGGAGACCTATCTGGATAGGGAGGCATAAGCAGAGGAAGGGGATATGGCTGTGGACTAGGACACAGGATGGGTAAGGAGACCTGGCTGGGAAGAGGATAACAGGGTAAGCAGGGGTGGAGGCTGATTAGAGAAGGAGGAGAAATTGGCTGGTCAAGGGAAGAAGGTCCAGTTGAGTTAGGGACCAAAGGATGAGAAAGATATCTCTAGCTGTTAAAGGGGTAACCGGGGAAGGGCACTTGGCTTAGGGTTGGGGGGGTGCGTCAAATGGAACCCAGGCTGAGAGGGCACTGGGCCAGGAAAGAAGATCTGGCAAGAAAGCAGGCATAAGCTGGAGAGAACATAGGCTAGTGGAGAATGTGAGGCTGGAGAAGGGGCCTGGGCATAGGGATGTGCCTGTTTGTAAAGGGAGCAGAAAGTTGAGAGGTCAGCACAAACTGAGGAAGAGAGATGAGTGGGGGAGGGCATTGTGGGGCGAAAAGACCCTGGTAGGGAATGGTTGCCTGACTGAAAAGGGGCTCTGGTAGGAGAAAGGTCCAGAGAGGGAGGAATAGGCTAGGAAAGAGAATTCAGTGGTGGGAGTGGTTTGAACACTGAGAACATAGACTGGAGATGGCATAATAGGCAGGTTAATGGGCCTGGCTAGGAGAGGGTGTCAGCAGGTGGAGAGAACCTGCTAGGGAAGAGATGGTGCTTGAGGTGAGGGCTTCTGCCCCTGACAGAGAGCTTGGGTGATGGAGGGGACGTGGTTGAGGAAGGGGGCTTAGCTGAAGAGGGGGGCACAGGATAGGGATGAGGATCTGGCTGGGGGAGGGGGAATTAGCCGGAGAAGGTTGAGGAATGGGGCTGTGCTGGGAAAAGCAGCACAGACTGGGGAAGAAAGCATAGGTGGGGGAGGAGAGCTTGGCTGAGGGTGAGGCGGTGACTGGGAAAGAGTTTCTAGCTAGGGAAGGGGACTTGGTTTAGCATGGGGGCATGTATGGGTGAAGGGATCCTAGCGGTAAAAGTCACATGCCTGGGGAGGCTACTTGGCAGGTAAGGGAGAACTGAGAGAGGAGGAGGCCTGACTGGGGAAGGAGGTGCTGGCTGGGAAAGGCCAGTGAAGGGCCAACTCCTTGGAAGAGTGGTCCCACTGAAAAGGGGAATGGCTGGGGATAGGCACCTGGCTGTGGGAAGGTAGTCTTTTCTGGGGAAGAGCTTCCATGTGGGGAAGAGGACGTAGGTTAAAAAGGGGCCTGGGGTGGGGAAGGGTAGACTGGCTAAGGAGGCTGTCGACAGGGTCTTAGATTGGAGAATCGGTGTCCTGGCTGCGTGGTGTAGTAGGCTTGACTGTGGAAGCAGATGGCCTGGGGTTGAGGTTTGCCTGGGAAAGGGAGGTTGGGGGCACAGGATGGTAGAGACCCTACTGAGA